AGTGCTTGATTCGAGCGACGAGAAGCCACTCTGAGACTAACCCGCCTAGAAGGAAACGTGTGTGACAACGTTCTCCTTTTCCTTTTCGCCAACAACTCCATGGGTGGACACTGAAAAGAGTTCTCACGTGCATACACAGTTGTCTTCCTCACTTCAGAGAAAACAGTGAAAGGGATCCTAAGATGAACATTCATGGCGCGCACGTGGGGCTTCATTAAGTTAAGCGGTTGCGGTCAAGGTTATTGGGTGTGACTCTGCGTCCAAGACAGTGCAGGACAGTGGCGAATGTGCTTGCATCTGGATGATAGAAACCTCATTAATGCCGATGTAGATAAGGAAGCTATCTTCAATGCCACTCCATTTTCGAAAATTTGAATGATCTTAGCCTCTCCACAGCTGCATCAGTGCCTATGGCACTCTCACTCTTAACCGGTAAGACCTTGGACCATTGATCAAGTTCTTCTCCAAGGTGAAGTATAAGCAATGGTGATCCCCAAAAAACGCGAAGTTTATATTTTTCATGAATTGATTTTGATGTCCCTTTTCGCAATGTCGAGAAGAAGAAATTTCGAATCAGAAAGGAATTCATAAGAAAGAAAGTTTAGAAAGTAATTGGACCGAGAAGGTTGAGTCGGCACTTTGTTCAAACTCCAAAGTATTGTCCGGGTCTAGTGTAGTACGGACGACTCGAAAGGGCCTATGCATGCACCAAAACTTCTTCACGATTCTATAATAGTACGAGACTTATTATAAGGGTCTTGTTAACGAGTGCTCTCGAGACACTTGTTAAGCATACTTAATTAAAAGATAATAATATGTCAATTTTCCAATGCATCGATTCCGCTGAAGAGTACTTCTGCAACAACAACATCTTATTTACCTGGGTGCTCAACCGAATGCTTTCGGAGCACCTTGTTAACAAAATACTCGTTATGATCTACACGATCCTGCAAACTTTCGTATATCTCTGTGTATTAATGATGATGCATAAGTATACCTAGAAACTGCACGTGGAATAACTCCAAAAAAAGTTTTCAAGAAAAAAAGAATGGAAAAGGGCATGGCCATGTGATTGATACGTGAGACGACCGTGTCCTTGACTAAAATGACTCGTGTTAATCACGGTTTAGTGGCAGCATTTAGTAGTTTCCCAACTTTGCATTTAACTTCCTCAACGAGCATTCGGAGAAAGTGCCGTCACGTGAACCACGGAGTAATAATAATAATAATTAAATTGAGAAAATGAAACTATAAAATCATCGACCACTTCCGGAAAGTTTGGTGAGACTCCACGAAGTATGCACCACTTTCCACGAAGTTGTCCGTGACTTTCACCGCTTTCACCGCTCTCGCAGGGGGACACGTGTCCGGGTAGCACGCGACGCCTCCCCCTGCAACCACCCGTCACCGTATCATCCACCCCTCCTCCCCTCCTCGTTCGTAGTCTCGCGCGCGACTCCCGAACTCTTTTTAGTCAACTTGCTAAAACCCCGGGGGGGGGGGGGCCCAGAGCCCGAGATGCTTAGCCCGAACCCCTCACGACACCGCTGCCCCGCCAATCCGGGAGCAACACGTCACCGCTCGCCGGATACTCGTGCTGACGTGGCGGCTCGCGATTCGCGCTCCCCTCGCCCCCCTTCCCGCGCGCGCGGCGTTGTGCGATGTGTGGCCACTAGGCTGACAGGGAAAAAGCACGTGCAGCCAAGGGGTCACTACTTTTATAAATGTAATATTTTCAGGCTTGCTTTTTTTTTTTTTTGGATCATATTTAAGAATAAAGTATTTCTTTTTCTCTCTTCCCCGTCGCAAGTCGAAATATTATCCGAATTTCATAATATTACGAAAAATTATCTGTGAAAATCTACATGCGAGCTTGTGTTTATTGTAAAAGTTTTAAGTGTTCAAACGGAAATAAGTCAAAGCATGCATCTCGAAATAAGAAGAAGTAAAGATATATCTAGACAAAATTGATTTTCTTAATATATAATCATAGTTGACATGCCAAAATTAATTGTTTTTGAACAATCGTTGTATTTGATGCCTGAATTGGATATGCTTAATTATTAATACATAACTAGAGTTGGATACATGTTTCTTAACAAGTGTCCTTAAATCTTTCCGATGACACCGCGGTGGTAAGCCTAGTGGTATAGTGTTTTATTTCCAAGTGATTTGGAGTCTCTTGGTCACAAGTTCATCAAATCTGCTAATCGCTCTTCAACCTTAGGATGCCTTGGTTCATTTACAACGTGGGTTTAGTCATGAGACAATGATAAAATTCACTCAAAATGAGTAGTAGTTATAACTCAAACTGAACATATCTTCGTTGCTCTGAAACTCCTATGATAACACTCAAGAGAGTTTACGAAGCCAATCATCCATTCTCACCCTTTTTTAGATAATTGATAGTCTTTTAATACGTAATTATTATACTTAGTTTAAATCTCTTCCGTTGCTGATCATTTTTTATGCGAATTCTAATATATCAAAAATGGGTTATATCGTACCAAGCACCCACCATTTACAGTTAAAAAAAAAGTACACCTCTGCTTTCATTTTATTTTATTTATTTTTATTTTTTAACCCAAAAAAAAACATCTCATGCACGTGTCGCATGATGTGTCATTGATCATTGCATGACGATTGCACATTTCTCTTTTCTTATCAAAAAGTCCATCAATATGAAAGCCCAATTGATGAAAAAACTAGCTTTCCAGATAATTAGGCTGCATTCATTTGCAAGATAAGACCGGATAAAATGTGATAAGAAATCCAGGGATTTTATTATATCATATCCACTATTGGTAAATCGTAATAATAAAGCCGAATACTGGGATAAGGACAGTATGAGTGCCATAACTTTCGTAGGGCGCTTACTGAGTGGCATAATTTTTTTTTTCACTCATTTAAGTGCCAAATCGGAGTACAATAGATCATTTGAGTGCCATTTTCGACAAATTGTCCTACGTGGCTTTTTTAATTAATTTTCCATCCAACGTGGATTTTTTAAAAAAAAATTATTATTTTATTTAATTATTTTATTTATTTTTTGATTTTGATTTTTAGTTTTTGTTTTTCTTTTCTTTTTTTAATTTTCTTTTTTTCTAGGGCCGTCTTGCCCTCCGCCGCAAAGGCCCAGGCAAGGCCATCGCGACCGCATCGACAGTGGGCGAGGCCGCGAAGGCCGTCGCCAGATTTGGGCAGCCGCAGGCAAAGCGGCCTCACCAGATCTGGTTGAGACGCCTTGCCCGCGACCGCCCAAATCTGGCGACGACCCTCGCGGCCTTGCCTTCCGCTGCGAAGGCCGAGCAAGGCCATCGCGGCCTCACCGGCAGTGAGCGAGGCCACGAAGGCTGTCGCTAGATCTCGGCGGCTGCGGTCAAGACGGCCACGCCGGATCTCGTTGCGATGCCTTGCCCGCAGCCGCCCAGATTTGGCGACGGCCTTTGCAGCCTTGCCCTCCGCCGCGAAGGCCGAGCAAGGCCATCGCGGCCTCACCGGCAGTGGGCAAGGCCACAAAGGCCGTCGCCAGATCTGGTTGCGACTCCTTGCCCGCGACTGCCCAAATTTGGTGACAGCCTTCGCAGCCTCGCCCACTATTAGCAAGGCCGTGATGGCCTTGCCCGGACCTTTGCGGCGGAGGGCAAGGCGGCCATCGCCCATCTCGGTGAGGGCTTCGCAGCTGGTGAGGGTTGCCGGTGACCCTCGCCGACATTAAAAAAATAATAAAAATAATGAAAAGAAAAATTCCAAAAAAAGTAATTAAAAAATTCCAAAAAAATTTTAAAAATTCAAAAATATACTAAAAAATTGTCCACGTCAATGCCGGCGAAGCCACGTCGGACAACCGGCATCCACGTCGGATTTTCCGACGAAGCAAATCGCCGATGGCACTTAAGTGATCATTTTTTCAAATTTGTGGCATTTAAGTGAGCGAACAAAAAGTTATGGCACTCAAATGAGCGCCGTACGAAAATTATGACACTTTTAGTGTTCTTATTCCACCGAATACTTTTATAGTATGATCGGTATATCGATGTAAATGATGAAAATGCCCAAATAGAGATTGTAAGATCTCTCATATTTACTGCTAAAGAAGCCACAAATGCACAAATGCAAATAGCCTCCATCAATCAATTCATAAACTATTGTGCAATCTACATCTTAAACTGGAAAAGAGCTCATTAAAACATTCTCTTCATTTGACTTGAGTCAGCGAGTTATGGAGGACAAGGAATTTCGACTCTCTTTTCATTTTTGTGGAGTTTTGACATGAACAAAGAACTATAGTGGAGCCGTGAAGCGCCAACAAGAACAAGAGCTACTAGAAGAAGAAGATGGAGTGAATTAGGAAGATTGGTTTCAGTTTTGAATTTGTTCATTTAAAATCTAAGTTCTTCTACTTCATTTTTATTTACGTAATATTTAATTATTTTTCATCTCTTTTTTATTTCTTTTTTATATCCTTCCATCATTCCCAAATAAAAATTTTATTATATAATAAACTATACTGATATACCTAAAATATGTAACAATTAGAGATACCGAATATATATAATAGAATAGAAAGAAATTCAAATATATATAAAAAAAACGAAAATTGTCCTTTATTATTTTGTTAATTTGAATGTTCTTTTTTATATCAGAAACCAAATATTATTTTCTATTTATTTTTTATTTTTTAAATTTAAGAAATTTGTTATTCGAGAAAAATAGCTTTCATGGCATGGATCATATCCATCTTTATCCCAACTCCCCGTGAGATATTCGGACCGTAACCCTTTGTATCCGACTTTATTCTATCTCCGGTAGGAACCAAATACGGTATATGATAAATCCCGATATTTAGCTTGATTACCAAACGTATTGATAAATCCGGGGATGGATAATCCAGATAATCCACTCGTGCTGGGCCGCACGACTCACGTCATAAATTTCGACATATCTAAATTGCCATTTAAATAAAATAAAAAAAATATCTTCAGCTATTAGTTCGCTCCGCCGGCCACTTTGGCACACGCTCTCCTCATAAAACCCCTCGGTATCTAAAGGCACGGAATACCCCCCCTCTCTTTCTCTGTCTCTCTCTTTCTCTACGGAGCAACAATGGCGTCTCTCTCTCTCCTCCTCTCCCTCTCGCTCCTCCCTCTCCTCCTCCCTCAGGCCCTCTCCCTCGCCTGCACGTCCCAGAATCTCACCAGCACCGGCAAGCTCTACACCAACTGCAGCGACCTCCCCAAGCTCGGCGCCTACCTCCACTACACCTACGACGCCTCCAACTCCTCCCTCTCCGTGGCGTACGTCGCCGCCCCGTCGCCCGGCGGCGCCTGGGTCGCCTGGGCCATCAACCCCGTCCTCACCGGCATGATCGGGTCGCAGGCCCTGATGGCGCTCAGGATCAACGGCTCCGTCGTCGCCAAGACCTACAACATCTCCGGCTACCACTCGATCGTCGAGTCGAAGCTCTCTTTCGACGTGTGGGACCTGAGTGCCGACGAGGTGAATGGGACGATGCGGATCTTCGCGACGGTGAAGGTGCCGGAGAAGGCGGCGAGCGTGAACCAGGTCTGGCAGGTCGGCGGCATCGTAAACGGGACCCATCCGAGCATCCACCTGCTGGATCCGGCCAACAAGGCGTCGGTGGGGACGCTCGAGCTGGCCTCGTCGGAGACGAACGAGACCGCCTCCCCCGCTCCGGCGCCGAGCAAGAGCGGAGCGAGGGCGGGTCGGGGCAATGTGGGTCTGTTGGCAAGTGTGATTCTGTTGATCGGGAGTGTTACGGCACTCTAGTTCAGTGATTAAAGTGTTCCGATTTGGATCAGATATTATTTTCTATATCAGTTTGCATCTCTTTATGGAGTTTTCCTATTCTTCTCCTTCTCCTTCTCCTCCTCCTCCTCCTTCTCCTCCTCCTTCTTCTTCTTCTTCGCTTGGCGATGTAAAAACAGTAGGTTTGATTGCGTTACTGAGAGGTGGGTCGGCCTTCTCCTTTGACAAAAGAAATTACTGTCCAAACATTAATGAGCGTTTTCTGTGATCTTCTTCTCCTTTTTTTGTTGTCTTTTTTAAAGATAAATATATCCACCTTTTGAAATATTGCTCATATATATGGAAAAAAAAAAAGTCGGGGCATTGAAAATACGAACACTTTTGTCGCGGGTTACTTTTTTTTTTTTTTTTTTGGTCGGTCCTACTCTATCTCTCACTCACTCACGATACACACTCAGACTTACAAAGTGCCCTCAATGCAACCTTTACCGCAATCCATTTTGCTTAATTTTTTTACCTTAAATCAATTCTTTTCCCCATTATAAAAGTTCTTGAGAGGGGAATAATATTTTTTTTTTCTCTCTAAATGTAAAGCGTTGTAAAAGGGAAAAGGTCTTTAATTTGTGGGACATGATGATAGCGCGTCGATGGGAACATGTGCTGGTGATTTTGGTGGCAGAACCTGAGTTTCCATTTTCTTGTACAGTGAAGATCCCTTCACTTCCAGGACAGATTCGCTGTTTTCTTTTACCCCTCCACATCTCACTCTGATCTCGTTCCTCTGCCAATTCTCAGATCTTGTGGTCGATCTTTACTTGATCCTCGGAAAACTTATTAATCCTTGCTGACACGAAAGATAAGTTTAAACGTAGTTCAACTAAATTATTGACCATGTGAAACGCGTTGCTTTCGTTTCAATAGTTATTACCTAGCGAGGAGTTGCTAATTACTCCAGTGGTTAAAACTTGCTTGTTCTTCTTTTTTACTTTGTGGAAAGGGTACTGACCACAATGCGAGTTTGACTTTAAGAGTTACTTATTTGCGGCCAATTGCAAAAAGAAATGTCGTAATTCATCGTGACCGTGCGCTAGGAAAGCTATTTTAAGCTCCATTTGTTTCCCGAAATTCGAATTTTGCCGGCTAAATTTTTTCGAATCGAAGTTATTTGTGGATAAAAAGGTTTGATAGGGTTTTTTTTTTGGGTTGGGCTTTTGGAACTAAGTTTGAATTATTGTTCAAACTAGTGAGACAGGCTCTTAAGTCTCCCATGGTGGTGAGCTACTAATCTAGTAGAGATTGAGTAAAGCAATTGTCGCACTTTTCAAACTTGCATCTCTTATGGAAGTCGGACTCTATGACTTGTGAGTGAGAACACCGCGAGAACGTGGTCCCACGTTGTGTCATTGAATGAGTAACAAGAATTGTGAGCTAATCTATTGTTTTTTTAAAGACGTAGGGCTATCCACCGTTTTAATTTTTGAGCACGACGCTTGATGTGTTTCGAAAGTCTAATTCCAATCCAATGGAAAATGTAATTGTATAACATAATATTATGGGTTGTATTAAGTTTTCAATAATAATAATAAATTCATACAAGAAACGATATTCAATATACATATATATATATATATATCTTTTACAAATATAAATAAAATAAACCTACCGGGACAAATTGGCAAGGCAAAGACTTTCTTTTGACAAAAACATAAAAATTTGGCAAGGCAAAGTCAATAGCCGCCCCATCGGATCCTTGCCCCGTTCCCCGCTTTTTGTCCTGCTCCCTCTTTTTTGGGGGGAAAAATTTGAGGAAAATTATTATTTCAGTCTTAAATCTATTATACAAATATCAATTTAAGCTTAAACTTTTCAATTTTGTTAAGGTAGTATTAAACCTCTACGCGAAATTTCAATAAAGTCCTTCTAACCAATTGCCGCCCGAAATCGCTAATGTGGCGATCCACCAAATCAGACCTGAAATCTCCATATAATTTGGACCTCGAATGAACAAATAGTTTAGCCTCAAATGATGTACACAATTATGCATGATCAAAACTCCCAGCACAAAATATACACATTTACGTTCGCCGTGCACTTTGATCTCGTCTTCAGAGATATCGTCGGAAATGCTAATTTAAAGGCCCCTAAACTCTGAACTTGACCAGTCTATTAAATATACTTTGGGGTGAGCATAAACTCAATAAACGAACTCTCTAGATTTGAGGTAGAAAATTATCTTCGCACTCGACTAGGAGTACAACAACATAATGACAACCAATGAGTTATCACATGTCACTTATATCAATCACTATAATTCAAGTAATGAAGCTCACCATTTGGCTATAGTATGATAAATATTAAACTTATTCCTCAATTAATGTTGTATTCATAATGGAATATTTCAATCACTCCAGAAGTACAAGATGTATCATATATGATTCAAGTACTTGTAATCTAATCCAAAAACAACATATTAATCATTTCATCTTCTATGAACACGCATCATAGCATCAATTCATAAGTATATCAAAATTTACATCTTCAAGCACATAATCAAATTTTTCATCACTTTTCCACTTTAGTAACAATAATATCAATCTACTCTAAACCACAAGTATTCACTTACATTTTCCAAACATGTTATTTCAAAATATTTTAGACGTAAATCACACGTGATAGATAAATGACCATAATCACATGTGCAATTAAATAAATGTCATGAGTCACATACGATTGAATACTCAAATGTACACAAATGAATGTACGAATCTCATGATGAACAAAAACCACATAGCAGCACACTGCTATACACAAGGGAGCATCTATTTCATACTTGTCACCAACCAAGACCCATCTTGGCTAGAGAGGTATCATCACCACCGTTATATAGGAGACGGAATTATAGCATCTTGATTAACGAGGCATCATCACCACTAAAATATGACATATGAGATTATGAAATCTTGATTAGTGTGATGCAGCTCGACTAATGAGGCATCGTCACCATTAACACATGGGAGACGGGATTCTAACATCTCGACTCATAAGCATCTAAACTAACGAGGCATCATCACTACTAATAAATGGGGAACAAAATTATAACATATTGACTAACAAAACATTGTCACCGCTAATATGTATGGGGGATGGAATAAGAAAATAATAATTCCCCTGTTCAATCATATATAGCAGTGGATATAACATCACTATAATCTTTTGGAATTCCCCGCATCAACTTGGAACCAAATATCCATTTATTATTATTTACAAAACCATAAACTCTAACAATCATCATTCAGTAGATTACATCATCACGTGCAAATCATCACTACATAACAAATGTCACGTATTTTCCAATAATCACATTTACGAATAATATCACACTAATCTTTTGAGATTTTCCATGTAAACAGCGGAATCAAATAATTTCGTGTTTTCCAACATTTAAATCTATATTCTCTAAACATCATGCCATCATGATTTAATAGAGAATTTATGCAGATTCGTAATTGAGATGAATTTCCTTGGACAATCAAAATTTCTATAATTAAAAAAACTCATATAATTGCCATTTTTAGACCACACCTTAATTAAATTCACCTTAATCATCAAAATTGAAAGTAAATTCCTACAATTCTAGATTTTCGTAATTATATAATTGCGCCAATAAAGTTTCTCATTTTGTAATTATTACCCTTAACTTCCAATCTTCACTTAATCAAGCTATCTTAATTAAACTGATACCAAAGGCCATTCTTTTTTTTATCTAAAATATATGAATATTTTATTTATACTATATGTCACGCCCCAAACCCTCGAGTACGTGAACATCCTTACTAGGTCATGAAATTGCGATGAAATTGCGACGTCCCAGGACGCGTTGCCGACTCATTCATTTTAACTTTCAATTATGCACATACGAAAGCACAACATCTCCAGACAATAACAACATGGATAGACAGGAAAACATACAACAAATATATATACATACATTAACAGCAGTACATTGGGAATTAATATATTACAAGTTCGTCACGGAGACCTTCCTGATTACAACCACAAAAGGTATGGGGTTAAACCTAGCTCCTTTATCCACGAGGACAACCTCAAAAGGTGTTCCCCCTCAAAACAACCGGTTCCCATAGAACGCAATGCATACTCATACCTGAACACCTTAAAAATGGTTAACAACAATGAATGAGATAAATCTAAATAAGTTAACGACCTAAGCCTCGATTAAGAAGTCAACTCACATCGGGCGCACCTAAACACGCAGCCACATATCGACGGTAGATCAATAGCAAAACAACCCTTGCTTTGCCCTAACTATACACACAAACAGGCTACGCAGCCCAGTATAAATAAACATGTCATTAAACAATCGCAGGCATGCTTACCTTGTCTTGGCACACACACCATGTACGTTATAAACCATCATGTGCAATCATAATGCAACAAGCATATAATATAATCGGAACACAGTAGCATTCCCATGCACAAGGCATCTACACAAGTTCCGATTATAAGGTGAAACCATTTTGGCTCGTCCCATACCGTGCCTCACAATTTCATTCCATAATCAGGCGCAATACATCCACACTCTTTCACGCGTGTTCCGATTACTACAACCGCACAGGGTCACAGCACAACCCGTGTTACTCGCATCAGGTTGGCGGTCTTCGGCATAACCAGGCATCGTCTCGTCCCATCAGGCACGGCATCATCTGGAACCCCCTCCCAGACGGTATTCAATTAAGAGCATCGGCTCAGCCTTAATCGCGACTCGGCATCCGGACTCCCGCCGAGCATCCGAACTTATTCGGGCAACGTCCCCAGATCCCCGCTGGGTGACGAGTTCCTTTATGTGATCACACGAGCACAATAATCACACAACTCATTTATATCTCAGCATTTAGCCAAATGCAAACGTGGTTCGTGCTCATACAACAAATTACTGCAACTTCCACACATAAAAAAAATGCAGTAATAAATTCACACGTAATCACATACACACAATCAACCCATCAAACTTTGCATGATTTCCTTTTTTTTAAACATCCTTGCCCCATTTAACTTATAAAACTTGACATATA